TGTTGTTTGTTATTTGATAGAAAAATCCTAGAAACTTGTTGGTCTTCCTTAGCATACATGCCAAACATAAATTCATTTAAATAAAAAACAAGGTCTTAACCGGTACCAGATACTGATTAAAGAATAAAAAAGAAGAGTAATTAGTATTGGATCAATAGGTTAAAAAATAAAAGAAAATGAATATAAGAAGAAAAGCATGATGTTTGAAGCATAACTATGCTTCTGAGGAATGATTTACACACATAGCCTATATCACCTTCAACAGAAAGAAGAAAACATTAATCTGAGGCTCCTTCTTCACCATTAGATAACATTGAAGAACTAGTTGCACTATTTGAAGAGCTTGAAACTGGTGGTGGAGGTGTACTTGTCCATGGAACCACTTGATTTTCTTCTTCATCTTCATCATTTTCTATATCATCATCATCTTCATCTTCATCTTGATCATCATCATGATCATTCTCTTGGTTATTGTTTCTGACACAGTCATTACAAAAAGAAATGGTGGGTACAAACTTGGGACCAGAGCCATGCCAAGGTGTGAGTGATTGACAAACATGGCAAAGAAGAAACCTTTGATGTTTGGTGACAAGAAAGTTTGCAGTGTGAACCTTTGCATCACATTCCCAACAGAGGGTAGCTTGATCTGATTCACAGAACAACTTTGCTGGACTGTTACATAGTTCACACTTCTTCATCTCTTCTCAAACCTTAAAAATGTTTTATCACACTATTGTTATAGGCAAAGAGAGAGAGAGATAGGGAGGTAGATATACTAAAATGTGAAGAATAAAAAAAGACATGGTGTTGAACCAAGTTGCAAGTATTAAAACCATGTCTTGTTTTGGTTTCTCACTCCTAGGTGGAAAAATAACCCACAAGTCATCTTCATTACTCGAGATGACAGTGTATAGTTAGGATAATAACACATGTTAAAAACAAAATTTCAATGGTCCAGATTTTTAGTTTTTTTAGTACGGATTTTGTCGTACTAGAAACGAATCATTTTCATGACCAACAGTGTCATGATGAAAGCATGTAGATAGATAGATAGAGAGTTTAGTTGTTTATGACTTGGAGTTCAGCATGTGGGGTAATCTTGTGAGATTCATGATTTCCATTTTTAGCATTCAAATCTGATTTTTTCTGCAACCAAATGGATTTTTTAATATGGAATAGGATTAATTCTTTAAAATTTAAGACTAAACTCTAGCACAAAGTGTGTGTGTGTGTGAATTATTTGGTAAGAGAATGGTGCATTGCATACTAAGGGAAAAATTGTCATAATTTTGAAACAGCATAAGGAATTTCGTTTAAGTAAGACATTTTCTATGTGGAACCCAACATATGATATACTCAATTAAACAAGCGTTATCTACACAAAACGAGATAATTATTTAATTATGGGATAAAAGAGAAGATGTAGAATAAATTTAAAAAATTTAACATTGGAATAAATGAATCTCCCGCATAAAAAAAATATTCGTCATACAAATCCAAAATTGGAATATCTACTAATTGTAAACAAGTTTTTTTTTTAAAGTTGGATTTAAATATACTTTTTACCACCGAGAATACAGAATTAGTTAAATTTCTTTAAAATTTGAATAGATCATAATTAATTATATATAATTACTTTTTCCCTGTTTTTAAAATGAACTTTCTTTGTTTTTAACAAACTTATTTTTATTTTTCCTATTATGGTGTTGTCCATTCCACTATTCACTTTACCTCACTATTATTTTTTTATCTCTGATAATGATACAAATGGTAAAAGATTAAGAGTTTGTTATATTTTTATAGTGTGTCTTCTACCATTGACTATAAATTAAAGAATAATTAATACTATTTTCAACTTTTGAGGATGGGTTAAAAAGTAATTTTTCAGAGGTGGGTGCAAAATACATTAACAAGATGATTGAAATGTCATAAATTTGTTATAAGAGGGCAAGCTATAAGAGTTTGTTGTGGAGTGAGAATTAGGTGGAACTAGCATTAAACTGAGTTGACTAGTGAAGACCACACATAGCTCTTGCCACATCAGATGATATTAATTATTTTTTAATTATCCTCATTGCTCACATCCTATATGATTGTACCTTAGCCTTTCCCATGCGGATAAGGATTTACTACTCCAACCATCTCTCGTACCAATTAAAATATATTATGTCAATTAAAAAATTAAAAATTTATAGTTTTTTCTATTTTTGATTTATTGTGATTGGTTGCTTCCTTCATTATCACACATATGCACTTAATTCTGTCCCTCTCAATTTGGCCTCACATTGCATGACAAGAATTTAATGTCACAAGTAGAATTCTAAACCATGTCTTGAATTAATATTGTTGAAGCAAAAACAAAACAAAAAAGTAATAAATATTTAAGTTTTCTATTTGATATTATATATTTTTATTAATTTAAAATATAATTTGATATAGTTTGAGATAATATATTATTGTCTCATGTTAATTTTGATTTTTGGGAAAGAATTGGTAAAAAGTAGCCTCAACGTGTCATGAATTGAGGGATCAATGAATCATTGAATGAATTCATGTGGTTTTGGTTTAGAGGTTCATATGTTATCTATGGTGTGGAATTTCACTTTGCAAAATAACATGTGTTTGTTTGTGGACACATCTATTCAGTACTACCTAGATGGAACAAATAATTTCTATGAGAGTATGAGTCATTTTTTTGTTTTGGTTTGTGTAATAAAGTGTCCCATAAAAAGTAGAGTAAGAGATATATACCGATAGTATAAAAGTTGAACTTTTATACTGTTATTATATCATTCAGTATTAGTTTGCATTACTATATATTTTTGTCATCTTATTATGAGTAATGTTTTTATTTTCTTGATGATTTGAATATTTTAAAAACAGTCAAAATTAAATGTATTTTGGCTTTTATATCATAAACTTAAAAAATATGTTATTAGTGATAACGATAGATTTGGAAAGTCCACGGTCTAAAATTTGTTACCTCTTTGACATATTTTTTTAATAATATAATATTAACTATTATTCCTATTGCAATTAATTAATGAAAATTAAGTTAATTAGTTCAACCAATAACATATCAATCGTGTAACTAAATGAATGACCCAATAGCTTGATCGAGTTGATGAGGTTCTCATCCATGCCAAAACATACATAATTCGACATGTGGTTTGGACCGGAACGGAATCTTGTGTCCCCAAAATATTCTGTCTTACCGTCCCTACCCAATAGAATTGCACAATTTTAGTTTGATATTGGTATAGGTGATAAATTAAATTGAAGGTAAAACATAATATTGGTTTTCGCTTCAGTTGGCTAATGCTGATTAATAACTTTTGGGAAGTTAGGGATATGATATGGTCCAATTCCGTTATCTCATTTTCTCTCTTGCTTTCGAACATTTCTTCTTGCTCTTCAATCACAGTTATAGAAAATTTTATTTTCTTTGCGCAAGAGTAAAAAATGCTGAATAATAAAAATCCAATATTTGAAGATGGGGAAATAGGGTATGTAACATTTCCAATGGCTGAATTGAACGAGTGTAATAATTTTGGGGAATTTTTTATGCTCTCTCTGCATTGGTTCTTCCTTCTGTTGATGTAGTTTGTTTAAGTTTTTATGTTAATTTGTTGGCAATGTGGCTAGGCAACCTTTTCTTAATTTTCTTGCAGGTAAAGTTTCAGTAATTTCAGACATAATTTATTGGTAATGCCTATGAGAGTTTGGCGAAATTTCTAAAATGTAACAAAGATTATTTTCCAATTTGAAGCGTATATCTTTGACTGTATTGTCAACCGACTTGTCCATTAATAAAAGTCAACAGACCATCTACTTTGTTCTTCCTTCCCATCCTTCAAATTTAAAATTGTCAATCACAATCCCAATTCCATTTGGATCGGATTTTAAGTAAAAAATCATCTAATCTAAATATGTAATTAACATGCGGTTTGATATATTTATATTAAGATGTCTGATCCAATCCAGTCCAAATATTATATGCGGTTTCGATTTAGTTTGGATTGGGTTTTTTTATAAAAAAAATTAAAATTAGACATAACTCAAATACGACAGTTTATAAAAAAATAAAATATTGCATAGATGCCAAGATACATCAATAAATTGAAAAAAAAAAGCAAAAGATAAACTTTATGGGGACCTTAACTGCCTAACTTAAAAACATGTACAAATATGTCTAAACATATATCAACTTTAAAATAGTTCATCATCATTAGATAACCACTATTTTTGTTTTCAATAATCTTATTTTGATTAAATAAATTTTTGCAAGATATGTATACAGATTAAAAATGAAAATAAATGATAAATAAAGATAATTTAATTCATTATTAAAAACTTGTCAAATATGAAGTTTTGGTTGTATAAGTTTATGGATTGAAATCCTCTCTAGTGTTTAAATATGAAGGGAAAATCAAATTTAATAGTTTTTAATATTAATTTGTTAAACTCGAGATGAACAAGGATTCTGTGTTGCCAAAAAATTTCGTCTCCATATGCCAACCCAATCAAATTCCATCAAATAATATATAAAATTTAATTTCTTCTTTATAATTTTTCTTTTTAAGCCGGTGAGAGATAATGTTTACACTAAGTCTTTACGTACAAAGATAATATGTCCTCAACAATATCTCATTCTCTATCCCGAACAATCACATAAATAAATTTTTTTTAAATTAACATTCTAATTAATTCAGGATATGGAATAAAACATCATTCGATACAGTTCATGATCCATGATCTCTATTCAGTTTATACATGAGTTTTTAGTTGTAAGAAAGAGTTAGGTTACACTTTCCTGGAAGGTATATGGGAAGCTTAATACTATCACCAAGGAAGCTACAAATGGTGGTTATCTTCAGTCACGTAGTTACCATTTTCCCTTTGGTTACATGCTCAAAATAAAATGAGTAGAGACACATGTTAACAAGATAATTAAATTATTGAATAACCCATGCAATCATAGCCATTGCATGTTTATTTAATTTTTTTGGTCTTATAAAAGAATAATTTACCAAGTTCTATGCTATCAAAAATTGGTAACTTGGATATCATATATTTAGTTTAGAATGAAGATCACATGTTCAATTTTTCTCTAAGTTTCTTTGTGACATGTCCTCAACTTTCTTTTTCATGGCTATATAAAGGAGCAAATACCTAAGGAAGCTGCCCAAATCTTCTAGCAGCTTTTTGGATCATATATAAAGAAAAGGAACAAAGGGGTTAGATCACTGAAATTTTATGTACTTTTCAAAAGTTTGGATTTATTCAATTATGTGGCTTATATGAAAGATGGGTTGCTCAAAAGTATGCACCATGCTGATTTCTATGTGATAGGAATTAGGCCATAAACATAAGGGTCATATTGCTGTTATTGAGGAACTTAGCTATTCAGTACCTTAGGTACCCTTAAATAAAGGAAAAGGGTACAAACAGTATATATATTGGAAATTAAAGCTTTTAAACAGTTAGTGTAATAAAATACATCATCTTCTTGATTATAAACTTCTTTTATAATCTAAGCATAACTTATATTATATAGAAGGTTTTGTTTTAGAAAAAATAAGCTTTTATTTTAGGAAAATAAACATAAGATATGATTTTTCTCCTGATGTTACATACATATTATAATCACATTTAAACATAATTACAATTTAATTTTTCTAGTCCTACGAAACACAAGTTTATAATCTTAACACTCATTAGCATATTCCTAAACTGTTATTTTTTTCTTAAAGGGACATAATTCTAACTTCAGCTTTTACATTGAAAACTCTTAAAAAAAGCTTTTAGACAAAAAAACAAAAAAACCAGATGGCCATAAGACACAAATAACAGATATTTGAGAGTTAGTTGGAATGTGTTGGTCAAAAATTACAATGGGAAAAGAGAAACTAAAATCATGTAAGAGAATTCTTCAAAACTCTACTTTCTATTCAATATAGGAAATACTACTATTCAGCCACTAACATTAATTGTTGCAGTTGACTAATGAAGTATAATATGATTAACTTTTTTATGTTAACATTTTTTCATTTGTCCCAGACACAATTGGAACACCAAAATAGACTGCTGAATGATAAATATATAATACTTTTCTGAGGTCTTGAACATATAGTTTTGAAAACCGTGCCGTACCGGCCGGTTCAACCGGAAAACCGGTGAATCGGACCCCTAACCGGTACGGTACGTATGTTATACCGCATATGCAATAGAACCGGTCAAAATCGGTTGAAAACCGGTCAAAACCGGTGAAAACCGGTAAACCGGTTTAAACCGGTTGGTTTGTACATTATTATTTTTTTTTTAAATTTCAAATTTTCAATTCTTCACCAATTCTTCAACTTCAATGATTGATACTTGGATCATTTATTTGTATTTTGCGTTTGTTAAGTGATAATTTTGGATAAATATATGTTTTGTACTTTAGACTTTGATTTTATTAAAGACTTAATGTTGTTTGTGTGAATTTGAAGTAAATTATGAATATGGATTATAAATATGAATATCTACTTATTTGAAATTTTTTGTTATAGGTTTACATATATATATATATATATATATAAGCAAGTATGTCCGGTTTAACCGGCATGCGGTTTAATTACTGAACTACTGGTTGAACCACTGTACCACTATACCACTATACCAATATCCTAACGGGTTTGATAACCAGTACGGTTTTAATAACATTGCTTGAACACCACAACAAGTCACAAACTAGCATAGAATACTATCCACAAATTATGATTTATTCACTCAAATAAAGTTTCATAACCATATACTTTGTCATTTTTTTATTCAGTTATCTTCTAACAAATTAAACTATCCTATCTCTAACTTACTTTTCATTATTATAAAAATCATGCATCTAAAAGTCAAATCAAAACTTATTATCACAATTTTGTTCATAAACATTATTGATCAATGTAATATTATATTAAGTCATTTAATAATACAAACTATAACTTTAATCCAACCAAGTATCTATAAATACAAAGTTTCAACTATAATCTTCAGCTTCTAAGAAAGTCTGACACCTATAAGTTACAATATATATAATATTCCCTGTAATAAAGTTAATAAATTTGTACCATATAGGTCCCTCCAATAATATAGTAATCCAATTAGACGGCTGCATGAAAAGAACCAGACTTTTCCAAGGTCTTTAACACTCAAATATCTCTCAAACTATAAAAAATCTGCCTAGTCGGCAAAGATGATAAATGTATGCAACATTACCCTTATTTCCGATATTTGAATCAACAACTTGCATAGAGGTTCACACTCTTGAAAGAACTTTCAAACTAGAGTAAAATAAAATACTATCATTCCCATTGTGATAGCAAGAAGTACTTACATTTCTGCAATAATTGTATTCATCATGAACATAAGCTTGTTATCAATTTTGATTATATTTTATTCCCTATGTTTACATTATGGTATTGCCATAAACAACATTACTTTATCTCAATCTATCAATGATCCTGAGACTCTAAGTTCCAATGGTTTCACTCTAGGATTTTTAAGTCCTCCAAATTCTACAAATCGCTATGTTGGAATTTGGTACATGACTGAATCCACTGTAGTATGGTTAGCTAATAGAAACCAACCACTCAGAGATTCTTTAGGGAGTTTTGCAATATCTGAAGATGGAAATCTTGTGGTTATGAATGGAACCAAGAAGGTTATTTGGTCATCAAATGTATCCAACATTGCAACAAATTCTACTTGCCAACTTTTGGATTCTGGCAACCTTGTCCTTATGGATAGTGCAGGAGATAAAGTATGGGAGAGTTTTAAGAATCCTACTGATACTTTGCTTCCAAACATGAAAATTACAAACAACAACAAAAGTGGTGAGAAAGTTGAACTAACATCATGGAAAAGCCCTTCTGATCCATCCATTGGAAGCTTCTCTCTCAGTATTGAGCCTCTTAATATTCCAGAAGGTTTCATTTGGAATAAAACTGTTGCATACTGGCGTACCGGTCCGTGGACCGGTGATGTTTTTTTAGGCATACCTATGATGAATTCTTCATATCTTAATGGATATAGATTAGACTATGAAGAAGATGGAACTGTGTTTCTCACTTATTCTTATTCAAATGAATCATATTTGGCAGTGTTTGTGTTGGACTGGCAGGGCAAGTTTGAGCAAAGATTTTGGGATCATGAGAAAAAGGAATGGCAAGTAGGATGGAAAGCTCAATCATCCGAGTGTGATGTTTATGGAATATGTGGGCCATTTGGAATCTGTAGTGTAGAGAGTTCACCAATATGCACTTGTTTAGAAGGGTTTGAACCAAGTAACACAGAAGAATGGAATAGTAACAATTGGACTAATGGATGTGTTAATAGGAGGACAAAACTACAATGTGAAAGTGCTAAAACTCAAAATGGGAGTGTAAATAGTAAAGAGGATGGGTTTGAGAAACTTGAGATGATAAAAGTTCCTGAAGTTACAGCTTTTTCATGGCTTAAAACAGAAGACTCATGCAGAAGCCAGTGCATGGAGAATTGCACTTGTATTGCATATTCTTTTGATGAAGAGGTTGGTTGCATGACATGGATTAACAATCTAACTGACATGCAACAATTTTCAAGTGGAGGCAGTAATCTATACATTAGACTAGCTAATTCAGAACTTAGTATCAATGGTATATGTCCAATACTTATACTTCTTTAACTTCATCTTATTCTTATTCCTAGACTTGGACTAAAACTGTTTTTTTTCCTTCTGCTTTTCTTTCTCTTTGAAACACAGATAATGAGAAAGATTCCAAGACCACCATCATTACTATTACTGTAACAGTAATAGTAGGAACAATTATAATTGTTACCTGTGCATATTTCTTGTGGAAACGCTCTGGTAATATATATATTATTCTAGTTTATTTGCATCCACCCTTATAAATCTTATTCTAACTAAAATATCTATATGCTTTAATGAAGCAGCTAGAAAAAGGAAAAGAGATGAATTCTCTCGGTTCAATAGAGGTGAAACAATAGTTGTAAATACAAGTGACATGAAAATTGAAGAGCAATCAGAAATGGAACTGCAGGAGCTATTGCTATTTGATACAGAAACACTTTCTGTTGCTACAAACAACTTTGACTTGTCCAATAAACTTGGGCAGGGTGGTTTTGGACCAGTATACAAGGTGCAGAGTTAGTCCTTGATTATTATTATTCATATTGTATAAAGCCATTGTTTATAATGTTGTTTCTCAATATGATCTTATAGGGAAAGCTGAAAGATGGTAAGGAAATAGCAGTTAAAAGACTTTCTAAAGCATCTGGACAAGGACTAGAAGAATTCATGAATGAGGTAGTTGTGATTTCTAAGCTTCAACACCGGAATCTAGTAAGACTTTTAGGCTGTTGTAGAGAAGGAGATGAAAAGATGTTGATCTATGAGTACATGGCCAACAAAAGTTTGGACAAATTTGTCTTTGGTTAGTTCTTTCAATTCCATGTTTCTTACCTTTTGTAATATGTGTCTCAAAAAAGTTAAGGTTGTTTTCATCATAACATGCTTTTTCTGTTTTTTTCTGTTTCTTAAGAACTTAGTGATTTTGTCATTTACATGCTTTTGCCTCCTCTTGCTATGTTATGTTCAAATATAAAGAATGCAACCCTTCACTTCTGCAGGTCCACCCGAGCATAAATTCCTCGATTGGGGAAAACGCTTCAACATAATAGAAGGAATAGCTCGAGGATTGCTTTATCTTCATAGAGATTCTAGACTAAGAATCATTCATAGAGATTTGAAAGCAAGCAATATTTTGTTGGATGAGGAGCTGAATCCAAAAATATCAGATTTTGGTTTGGCTAGAATATTTGGAGGGCATAGAGATGAGGCTAATACTGCAAGAGTTGTTGGAACATAGTAAGCATCCTTTCAGCTTTGAGTCTTTCACCAACATTATCTTGGAGAATAGATTGTCTTACATTTTATGTTTGGTTGTTGTAATATATTGTTGTACATTTCATTGCAGTGGCTATATGGCACCAGAATATGCAATGGAAGGATTATTTTCAGAGAAATCAGATGTCTTTAGTTTTGGAGTTTTGCTACTAGAGATTGTTAGTGGGAAGAAAAACTCAAGCTTTTATAACAATGAGGAGTCTCAAAGTCTTTTAGGATTTGTAAGTTTTTACCTTTATTCCCTATCAACTTCAATTACAAGAATCTCATTGCATTCTAGTTTTAATATATTACTCTTCAAGTCACGGAAACAACCTCTTCGCATGGCATAAGGCTGCATACATATACTCTGCACACATCCCATTAAGCAGGAGCCTCGTGCATTGGACCGACTTTTTATTTGAAATTTTAATGATTATGTTCATGCTTGTTTAACCTTTTTAGGCATGGAACCTATGGAATGAAGAGAATATTGTATCTATAATAGATGAAGGCATATATGAGGGTATGAAAGAGAG